TTTACCGTGGACGAAGCGGAGTCCAGCCCGGGGTCGTCACATGTGGTTGCCGCAGCCCGCCGGCCGCGCCGTTCTCGAGTCCGCCCGCCACCGCTCACTCAAGCCGCCCTCCGCTCACTCAAGCCCGCCGTGTGTGATGCTGTGTGTTTCATTGTGAAAGCGAAACTACTTTGTTTGGCCTTCCAAAAGAGGACGACACATTTTCAGCGCCACATTTTCACCATTTTTCTGTCACTTCCAGCAAATGTTGGTATGTTTTTGTCCATTTACAGGTATATTGTTACTTTTAACTTCATTTGATCCTTTAATAAGTTCAGTTAAATAGTTCATATTAGCTGAAATGAAAGTTAAATTAAGTTAAATTGGATGTTTCCTTGCATGTGCATGTCAAGACCCAGGTGTATGTAATATCATTCGAAGGGAAATACTTTACCAATCCAAGAATAATTAATGTTTAATATGAAAAAAAAACAACAACATCAGTGGTGATTTATATGTGTGTGTAAAACATGTCTTAACCCGGACTACATGCATCATGACCATCTCTCGGTTGATAAGAAGACCTTGCCTGAGGATGCCAATGAACTCAACAAGGCCGCCATCTGTGCATGTGTGTATTTATGTGTTGAGGCACCTGTGGTCCTCAAAGTTGGCCCTCCCACGATAAGTGTTGTATCTGTTCATTGTTCGAGACAGATGGCTGTCAATCAATCTTATCATCTCTCAACACGTTTGGTCCTGAGGGAGCCAATATGGCACTGGCCTTGAGTGAAGGCCAAATCGACCAATTGCAGAACTTGAGACAACAATATGACCATTTGTGTGTCAGTGTCCACATGAAAAGAGAGCGACTTAATACAAACAAAAAAAGAGAAACTGTATTTATGGGTCTGATTTGCCTACCAGAATAGTACAACCTGAACATATATATATTAAATTATAACATAATATTTATAATAGTGGTTGACCAATATGCCATTATCAACAAATTCATAAATGGTCCCATTTGACTTTAGCTACATCCTTGCCTCACTCAACCTAACATCAACAATCTTCAACACCACATTCTGCTCTCTCTCAATCTCAAACACATGTACGCCATATTAATCCAGCATAAGTCAACTCAAACTCAAAACCTGCTGCATGGAAATCTTCTCAAATAATCACAAATCTGTGCATCTCACAGCTCAATTTACAGGAAGTTCATTCGTCAAAGCTCTTGCAGAATCTTCTTAAGTTAGAGCTCAGGAAAAAAGACCAGCTTAGTCACTGGGTCACCAGCAAATGTTGGGTTTCGGAAGCTGTTTCTCACACTTGTCTACTAGCTTAACCAGCAAGAAGTCTTTGATCAATCTTCTAACTAGAAAAACATTGCTGGTAAATATAATGACTATGCCATACTGATCCATGAGGTAAACCAGCTCCAAACCAGAATAAACCTCAAATAAAATGGAAATTCATACAGTTTCAACAAAGAGGCAGTGAGAAAAGCTAAGCAAGACACCAAAGACTATCCTAAGTTCTCTGCCAACTGAAAAAGATCCATTTAAAACACCTAAAATAAATTAGTAGTCATAGATAAGTGAACCAACACTATTGGAACCCAGCATCTCACCTCGACAGACGTTCCCGTTATCCGGCTCGAATCCCGCCTTGCAGGTGCAGCTCCCAATTGGAACCATCCAGTCCCCGTCGCCATTACAGTACAACTTAATCGGCACGTCCACTTCCTCAGAATTCGGGATGCACATCCCGCGAGCAATCACCAGCGAGGTGCTCTCTGCCCCGGTCATGGTCTCTGGAAATATTGCAAAGTTCTGCACCACGCTCGGGCATTTCTTATAAAACACACGGACAGACAGCAAGGACATGCATGCGCCATAGTCCTGAAATGCCAAATAAAAGCCGTTTTTCGACAACGGGCCGAAGCTCCGCACCTCCGTGTTCACTTTCATCAATCTACCACCAAAATCCACTTGCGAGAAGCTCTCGTCTGCCGCAATAGTGTCCACCTTCAAATACGGAGCCTCCATCCAGAACGCCGTACCCTTGGTGGCGATGACAGAGTCTGTCTCGTAGTAGTATAGGTTAAAGGTCTCCTTACAGGATCCAGGCACCCGCGGGATGCTGCTGCAGTCTCGGACGGTGAAACGCATCTCCACGTAGATACGCTGAGCGCCCCGTCGTGCAATGAAGGTGGTGAGCAGCCAGTTGTTCTGGTTGGACTCAAAGACGTTGCACACCTGGTACGTTCGGATGGTGTTGAGGTTTTCATCATAGCCGCTTACTTCCTCCCACTGGAAAATAAACACAATAGGAGGTTTAGCACAACAGAAGGAACGATGGCAGATGACCATACATTATTAAAATGACATAAAATATAAAAAAAATAAAAGTTATTTGTGGGGAAATGCTTACAGTGTAGAACTGGAGTCTCTTATTGCAAAAAAACAAGACTTGTTTTTGTTGTTGTTGTTGTTGTAAATGACTCAGGGAATGAATATTTTAAGTGAATAATTCAATTACTTATTCACACCACACAAAAGACACTCGTCTCCACTTACTGGTGTAATGATGTAACATAGAAGGGCCACTGAACAAATCAGTGAACGAATCTGATTGATTCTTTTAGGTGAACTGAATCACATAATTCTTGTCAATTGGTAAATACATTGTACACAGTAATGTTCATTTTAGCACCCAGAGAATTTTCTGTTTTCAGGTCAATTGTGCGAAAAACCCTATTTTCAACTTAAAATTGCAAGAGGTGCTTGCTGAAGTGGAATAAAGATGAGAAATATCACTGTTGGTCCATTCGATGCTATCGATGTGGAACCATGGCATGAACTCAGACAGGTTTCTGCCTTTCATAAAATATTGATACAAATTGAGTTTCCAGAAACCTCTCCAACCCCATATTCCCCACCCAAAAAAACATCTAAAAGCTTTTAAACACTACATCACTTTGAAACTTTTTTTTCCGTCTCTGAGATGATGAAACCTTTATGGCCTCTCTTTCCAAGTTTCAGATCCCAAAATCTGTCTCCCTAATCACCTGAGGTGGGCGAGGAAGCCGCTGCCATCTGCTTCGGTCCAGACCAAGTGCGGCCAGCCACTTACCATTATAATATTACCATATTATAAAATGTGATGCGTAACAAATTTGAGATTATGCACTATCGAATTACAATTAGAAGTAAGTGGAGCAGTATATGGCTGCCCTCCTGCAACCCTGGTAAAACAGCACCAATGGCAGATTGTGAAACATGGCAATTGAGTTCAGACTGCTGCTGAAGACAATTCTGCTGATGGTTATGGACAGTACAGTCTAAAAAATTTAAAGTTACAAAAAGGGCCTGACAGCTTGATGCATTAAAACAGAGATTTTCAGA